AGATAAAACAAAACTAAAATAAAAACAAAAAATAAAAATGGACACGGACAACAGCAGTGTGTTGAACTGACCGATTTATTGTAGCCAACGTGGCATTATATTTGCTAGTGATTTCCTTGTAGCATACGTCATCTGTGTTTTTCTAACATTACCTAATTTTGAAAACGTTCCTATGTGCCATCAACCTTTAAGAAATAACATGGCGATTTTCTCATAATGTTCCCTCATACCCACCCTTTGATTATTGTTTAATTTCTTACATTATTCCATTAGGCATCTATGTTTATTCTATAATCTATAAAGCATTTGCTTTGCTGTTTTCATGAAAGGTCATCTATCTCTCAACACCTCAAGTGGAACAGTTACAGGGACATGACCTCCTAGTTGTTTTTCCTGAGCCACTGGAAGCCTGAAGAACAATGTGTTTGCCTCCATCCGAGGTGCCGGGAAGGGGCCGAAAAAGCCTTAGAAACCCATGCCTCATAGATTCTCAGAGAGACAGTGAACCTAGGAAATAATGAACCATCCTGTACCTTAACCGACTAGGTTCAATCATTATCGTCATCTGGAATGCCTCCTGGAGGCCAAGTGGGACTAGGGTTAGAGTGACTTGTGCCTGTAGATACAGTCCTTAGTTGCCAGGGTGAGGCTTTCAAATCCATATGTTTCTCCTTTATTGGCCTCCTTTGCTGGCAAATGTATGAGGCTATCCTTCCTGTACGTAGAGGAGTCTCCATAGGGGATGGCAAGGGCTAAATATAGGGCTGCACAATTTCTTGCAGAACCTTATTTTATTTCCTAATGGTTCTTTCCCCAGGGGGCCTGGCGAGGGCAGTTCCCCAACAGACAATACCCCAGGTACTTTTAGTAAGGCCAAATTACCTAAAACCTGGAGTACAAGAAGCTTCACTGTCGGTGTGCCGCCTTGCAGTCACCAATCTGTCCGCAGCCTGGGCCTTGCCATCAGACTGGTATAGCTCGGCTTCCCCAACAGCTTCCTCCCCCTTCCCCTTAGAAGTATATAATCAGTGGTTCCTCCCAATCACATTGCAATTCTTCCCCTGGATCCTATCCCTGACTTTAATAAAAAGTCTCTTTCAGCAAAAACGCCTCAAGATACTTTGAGCATTTACTCTTGGCCCATGTCACATCAGTTTCCACTGGGCAACGAAGCCCCTCACCTTTATGTAGTAGAGCTATTGACTTCTGGGAGTAGAAGTTCTAAATCAAACAGACCTTCATCCCATAGGTTTTTTTTTTTTTAATGTTTATTTATTATTTGAGAGAGAGCATGAGCAGGGGAGAAGCAGAGAAGGAGACACAGAATCTGAATCAGGCTTCAGGCTCTGAGCTGTCAGCACAGAGCCCGATGTGAGGCTTGAGCTCACAAACCATGAGATCATGACCTGAGAGGAAGTCAGACGCTCAACCGACTAAGCCACCCAGGAGCTCCTTCATCCCATAGGTTTTTATTTCACTCCATAGTCATGACACAGACATATTCCTGTATTTACTTTTTGGATATTCAGAAAAAGACAAATCCCATAATAAGCATGTTTGAGTGTCTTAAAATCCTGAAATACAATAGAGCACAAATAATGATTGAAACAAAAGCTTTCAATGAGGGGCCCCTGGGTGGCTTGCTCAGTTAAACCTTAACTCTTGATGTCGGTACAGATCATGATCTCATGGTTCATGAGATAGTGGCCCATGTCAGGCTGTATGCTTTTCGCTTGGAACATGCTTGGGAATTATCTCTCTCTGCTCATTCTTTCTCAAAATAAGTAAATGTCTAAAGGAAAAAAAAAAAATTCAGGGCACCTAGGTGGCTCACTCCCTTAAGCATCTGACTTTGGCTAAGGTCAGGATCTCACGGTTTGTTGCTTTGAGTCCCATTTGGTGTGACCTCAAGACCTACTTCAGTTGAGCGCATGCCCCACTTCAGGTGAACATGTGCCCTGCTCCCTCCTTCCCTCCTCCTCTCCCTCCCTCCCTCCTCCTCTCCCTCCCTCCCCTTCTCTCCCTCCCCACGCCTTCAGTCACTTGTGCCCTCTGTCTTTCTCTCTCAATAAAAAATAAAGTAAGAATCTTCAAAAATAATTTTAAAAAAGCTTTCCAAGAACTAGTATGTTATGGGATCATTGAGTACTATGGTCAAGATGCTATTCTTGAGTTACTGTATGGCACAAGACAGGGAATTTACTGAAATAGCACAGGGACGGGACCCGTGGGCAGAACGAACTGTACTTTGGCTGCTTGGAGCTTACATGTATGTTCAAGGGGAAGGATAGGTGTACTGAGAGTTCAATTACAAATGTTTCTTTAGCTTTCTACTTGTAAAACTATTTCTGCAAGATTTCTTTGGTGCTTATGATTCAGCTCATTAACTATTAGTGAGATATAAGGGCAGTCAGGAGACCCTTTAAAATGTATCATCCATGGGCCCCTGGGTGGCTCAGACACAGACTGGAGACTGCTTGGGATTCTCTTCCTCTCTGCCCCTCCACCTTTCACACCCTGATAGCCCATGCATCTCTCACAATATAAATAAACACTTGAAAAACAGAATGGAGGAACCAGCCTTTATTTGATGTTTATCAAAACTATCTAGGGGTGCCTGGGTGGTTCAGTCAGTTAGGTATCTGACTTCAGCTCAGGTAATGATCTCATGGTTCATGAGTTCAAGCCCTGCATTGGGCTCTGTGCTGATGGCTCAGAGCCTGGAGCCTGCTCCGGATTCTGTGTCTCCCTCTCTCTTTCGGCCCCTCCCCTGCTCATGTTCTGTCTCTCTCTCTCAAAAATAAATAAACATTTAAAAAAATAAAAAACATGCAGTCTTTGTGCTGAAGGTGAACATTTTTCTTCTTGCATCCCTAATCATACTAGACTCACACATACTGTGTTATTTATATAATTCTATGTGTTTGTGTTGATAGTTGAGTGAAAGACCTAAGCATGATCATCTACAACTAGATTTACGAGTTTCATGGCATTGAAAATGTTTCTTCCTTCCTTCCTTCCTTCCTTCCTTCCTTCCTTCCTTCCTTTCTTTCTTTCTCTTTCTTTCTTTCTTTCTTTCAAGAGAGAGGGAGGGACAGAGTGAGAGGAAAGAGAGAAAATCCCAAGCAGGCTCCACACACTCAGCACAGAGCCTGAGATGGGGCTCAAACTCAGGAAACATGAGATCAGGACCTGAGCCAAAATCAAGAGTTGGACACCTAACAGACTGAGACATCTGGCGACCCCCTCATTAAATATATTTCTTAGTCATCCTGATAATTTTCTATTCTATCACTTTTAATGTGTATATAACTACTTTCAGAATGGATGTGTGCATGGAATGTATAAAGATCAATTTTGTGTGGATACCTTCTTCTCAGGCTTGACACCTGCTATGAATGTTGCTTTAGGGTCCCCTCTGTTTATTGACCTATGTGTCATTTTAGATCAACTTTAGGTCAGTTAACCTGGGTTAAAACCTGATCTGTACCATGTACTGGATATTTGACAAAATATTCCGTAAAAATGGAAGAATAATGTGTTTGTTCTCTTAGATCATTATTATTTATTTTCCATGAGTTTATGAGAACCTGTTAGATGCTATCTACTAACCAGGAAATGATTGGAAAGGCTTGTCACCTTTCTTGCTATCCTAGAAGAACTTGTAATTGCTGTAAAACCCATTCAGTTCCAAGTCCTCCAAGAGTTCTTGTCTTTGAGTTCTACTTCTTTGTTATTGAAATATGTATCCCTTGGCCCATAGACTAATGCCTTGTTAGAAATGCAGACACCCACCCAATCCCAGAACTCCTGAACATAATCTGCATGTTAACAGGATCCCCAGTGCACTGTTGTAAACTCTAATTCACATTAGAATATGCTAAGTGCATTTGTAACTCACCAAAACTTTCCATTTAGGAAATAGACACATGTACTGTATGATGTAAATAAAGGATTCAAAAATGTGTATGGCTGTGTTGATGCCTTCATTTTACAAATTCACTTGAATAAACACAATATTTATAAATGTTCTTATCTCAATGTTAGGGAATATATTAGAGCATGATACTGTGTTGCAAATTCTCTTACTGCAGAAAGCAGAAAACTCACCTAAGCCAGAACCAGTGCTCCTAATATAACTGAGCTAACAGGAGTTTAGTCCTTGGTGAACCACAAAACTACTACACCAGGTGGGGATGTCAGACAAAGAAAAAATGATTTACAGGAAATAAGGAGGTCACAGGGAATAACTTCTAAAGCAGAGACTCAGAGGCAGGAGAAATCGTTTACTTTTATTTAGGGTTAGGGTGGATATTCAGAAAGGGTATGTCATCATCTTAGGTCCAGCTTGTGATAAGGTTACGCATGAACCTTAAGAAAACAGTTCTGTACATACTCTGTATGTTCCATAGTAAAATATTTGTGATCCTTCTTGGGTGGAGATTTGGGTATTATGTTGAGTTAAAAGGGAGCTCCTGAGTGGCTCAGTCAGTTGAGCATCTGACTCTTGATTTAGGCTCAGGTCATGATCTCATAGTCCTGAGATCATGCCCCAAGTCAAGCTTCACACTGAGCATATAGCCTGGTTGGAATTTTCTCTCTGTCTCTTTGTCTCTGTCTTTGTCTCTCTCCCTCCCTCCCTGCTGCACCCTCACTTGTGTTCTCTCTCTAAAGGAAATAAAAATTTAATTTTTTTAGCATAATGATATAAATGTAACTGACCTCACTCCATGGTTTACTCTATTGTTCATTTTCATAGGTGTGAGTCAGGGGTTAAGCTCAAATTGAGTTAATCCAAGCTCTTCCTCAGAGTACTCACTAGCTTTTATTGGATACTTTGTTTCCACCACAGGACACTATGCCCATGGGGTGTTTTGCCTGAAGTAAAAGATAAGGTAGAAAAAAGGGTTAAGTAAAATGTGGGACTGAGGTCAGTGGGTACAAGCAGGTAAGCAGTGAAGGTCAGGTCTGGGGTTCTAGCTAGTGACATTAACTCCCTCTTGCATCTTAGGTACCATTATGACCTCTGCTTATGGCCATTCAGTAACTATGGTATTTATTGCAGGGGTTGCTGACATTCAGGGATGTGGCCATAGAATTCTCTCAGGAGGAGTGGGGCTGCCTGAGCCACAGTCAGCAGGAACTGTACAGGGATGTGATGTTAGAGACCTATGGACACCTCCTCTTCTTGGGTGAGGATAACTCCTTCCAGACTTCCCAAACCACACTCAGAATTTTGTTCCTTCCTTTGAAGACTGTCTCTTGGAACTTCCTCTTTGCATGAGTGGGATTCAGATGCCTGCAGTCAGGGAAAGAAGTAGGGTTTTCTAGATGTAGAGAAATATCTTCATGATGTTTCCTTTCAGGTTAGTTTTCCCTTCTGTAGAGTAACATCGTCATTTCTATAGATTTATGTCAATTCTAAACATTGAGTGGCATAAAATGGGAATTCCCACGTCTTAAATACCAATTTCAACTCATTACTGTAGTGGTATTATTTGGAAGTAGAGGTCAAGATCTGAACACTGGAAACCCTCTCATGTGTTCTTTTTTTTTTTTTTTCAACGTTTTTTATTTATTTTTGGGACAGAGAGAGACAGAGCATGAACGGGGGAGGCGCAGAGAGAGAGGGAGACACAGAATCGGAAACAGGCTCCAGGCTCCGAGCCATCAGCCCAGAGCCTGACGCGGGGCTCCAACTCCCGGGCCGCGAGATCGTGACCTGGCTGAAGTCGGACGCTTAACCGACTGCGCCACCCAGGCGCCCCTCTCATGTGTTCCAAAGGGGTTGTTGGGCAACATCATCTGGGAAATAATTTTCTAGAATTCTACAATGTCCTCTCTTGTCTACTGAGTCCAATACTGGGTTGAAAGGTAGAATCTCCAGCCACACTCATATTCCTTTTGTCTGATAAACAGGTCTTGTTTTGTCAAAGCCAGACCTGGTCATCTTTTTGGAACAAAAGGAGCTCTGGGATGTGAAGAGAAATCACACAGTAGCCTCACACCCAGGTAGGTGGGAATGAAACAGATGACAGAGGTGAAATCCAAATGTAAAGGAGGAAGATGGACCTTAAATGTGGTTTGAGCAGCTCTCCTCAAATGGAAATAAGTTTGAGAAGCCTAGTTTTATGTCTCTCCCTCTCAGCAGATATCTGCTTTCCAACACATCATGATCTTGCCTTCTCTTAAGATTCTCCTTCAGTTCCACTGGGAGGGCCTCCATAACGTGATTGGCTCTTCATTGCTTTGAGGGTCTTGGGGAAATCTCTATTTCTGAGGAACTTTATGCTAATCCATTACTGAGTTCTGTTTTGCCTCATGTGAGAAGTGTGTCAGGGTAGTGGTGGGCATATTGGGGTTTGGTGCAGAAATCCCAGGAACACTGGAGACAGAGATTACATGTTATCTGCTTTATGCTTTCCAGTATTATGGAAGCTTTCATCTTAGTTGCACAAATATGAAACCCAGTAATTTCATCAGATAGCAAAGCGCCTCTCTCAAATGAGAAAATCTAATCCTTGATTTCACTTCAAAAGTTCATTTCTCGGGGCACATGAGTGGATCTGCTGGTTAAGTGTCTGACGTTGGCTGAAGCCAGGATCTCACAGTTCGTGAGTTCCAGCAGTACAGAGAGCTTTTTGCTGACAACACAGAGTCAGCTTGGGATTCTGTCTGCTTTCCTCCCGATCCACCGCCCCCCCCCCCCCCCCCTTACCCTTTGTCTCTCTCTCAAAATAAATACAAACTTAAAAAATTTTTTTAAAGTTCATTTTCTTTGTATTAACTAAAATAAGAAATTTCCACTCTGTGAATTTCATTATTCAATGGTAAAATAATTTAAAACATCTGTTATTTCCTAGAATTCCTATATAAATTAAAGGCATGGGGAAGCTAGAACATTTAGAATTTAAAATTTGCAGCCTATAATAAAGTCTCAAATGTTACCTTATGTCCTAATAGTTGAATTATTTTATACTTTTGTCCTTATAATATGAAGTTCTTGTGACTTTGTCATATGTGTTTTCACTTTCTGAGTGAGATTCCTTTATGATTTATTAGATCGAATGCTGTGATGTGACACGGGCATGTGCTTTATAAAAAGTAAAGTAGGTAATTAGTAAACTTCCCATGTAAAAAAAAAAAAAGGAGTTTTAATTGTAAGTGTAATTTCACTTCAAGAGAAATGAAATAGTTTTTCTACTTTCCTCTGAATGTATCTGAATTTAATCCCAAAGATTTTTTTAAAGCAGTTGTTGCCATATTTTATAACTTTGGTGGTGTTTGTTTATTTAGAAATTAAAGGTTTTGGGGCATCTTGGTGGCTCAGAGGGTTGAGCATCTGACTTTTCATTTCAGCTCAGGTCATGATCTCAAGGTTTGTGAGTTTGAGCCCCACGTCCTGCACTTCACTGACTGTGGACTCTGCTTGGAATTCTCTCCCGCTCTCAAAATACACTTAAAAAAAAAAACTTAAAAAAAAAGAAATGAAAGGTTTTGTTTGCTTGATCTTAAAGAATGGATTATACACTTAAATTCATTGTAATAAGAGGGATCTATATCTTTTAAGTGCTAATTCATAAAAGTTTTCATCACAGGTTTCCATGGTTGATTTTAATGAATATACTTGACAGTTTTAGTGTCCATGAAGACATGCCAATAATTCAAAATGTTCCTTTTTTCATGGGCACACAGTCACAGTTTAAAATTATAGCTACATAGGGGCACCTGGGTGGCTCAGTTGGTTAAGTGTCCCTCTCTTGATTTCAGGTCAAGTCATGGTCTCATAGTTTGTGAGTTCAAATCCTGTGTTGAGCTCTGTGCTAGCAGCACTATGATGGTTCGTTATACCTTTAAGATGTTTTAAGGAATCTTTAAGGTAACCACAATGAAAATACAGACAATATATTCACCAATAAATAGATGATGAAATTAATTCCATTATTATGACAATTCACATAGACCTGATACAACATTCACTGACCACTAACCAAGGAGAAAAATACACAAGATGAATCACAAAGTATGCATAGGTAATATTTCTACAAATACATGGATGATTTTTTTGGCACAGGGCATAAAACTGATTCATATTTGAGTTACATTCACATCATCCAAAAACGTAATGAGTTGAAAATTGTCACTATAACAACATATACAGGTAAAAACAAAATCACACCTAAATAATGCTGTGGAAAGTCCCATACAAAATGAAGCACATTAGTATGGAATTGCAAAACCAGAATAAGACAAAATATAACCCCAAAAATTCTATATAAAAATGATGAATTAAAGGAAACCTACAATAATTTTACTTTAAAGTTTATTTACTTTGTCAGATAGAGAGCACAAACAGGTGAGGGAGAGAGAGAGAGAATCCCAAGCAGCGTTGCACTGTCAGCACAGACCCTGAAGCAGGGCTCCAACTCCGCAAGAGTGAGATCATAACCTGAGTCAAAATAGACGGTTAGACTCTTAACCGACTGAGCCACCCAGGTGCTCTTGTGTGTGTGTGTGTGTGTGTGTGTGTGTGTGTGTGTGTGTGTAATCTATATAATTTTAATTTTTTTAAATGTTTATTTTTTATTTAAATTTTTTTTTCAACGTTTTTTATTATTTTTGGGACAGAGAGAGACAGAGCATGAACGGGGGAGGGGCAGAAAGAGAGGGAGACACAGAATCGGAAACAGGCTCCAGGCTCTGAGCCATCAGCCCAGAGCCTGATGCGGGGCTCGAACTCACGGACCGCGAGATCGTGACCTGGCTGTAGTCAGACGCTTAACCGACTGTGCCACCCAGGCGCCCCTAAATGTTTATTTTTGAGACAGTGACAGAGCACAAGTGGGGACAGTTAGAGAGAGACACACAGAATCAGGGGCAGCCTCCAGGCTCTGAGCTGTCAGAGAGATTGAGTCACAAAGCACAGAGCCCTCCAACTCAGGAACCCTGATATCATGACCTGAGCTGAAGTCGATGCTTAACCAACTGAGCCACCCAAGCACCCTGTAGCTGTAATTGTAAACTGTGACAGTGTACCCATGAAAAAAGGAACATTTTGAATTATTGGCATGTCTTCATGGGCATAAAATTATAAAGAATATTCATAAAATCAACCATGGGAAGCTCTAATGAAAACTTTTATGGATGACTACATGTATTATGTTAATAGATCCCTCCTATTACACAGAATTTAAGGGTATAACCCATTCTTTAATATTAAGGAAACAAAAACTTTTAATTTCTTTCTTTCTTTTTTTTAGTTTTTTTAAGTTTATTTTGAGAGAGGGAGAGAATTCCAAGCTAGCTCAGTGCTCTCAGTGCAGAGTAGGATGCGGGGCTGGAACTCACAAACCACAAGGTGATGACGTGAGCTGAAGTGAAGACTTTGGTACTCAATCCTCTGAGCCACTGAGATGCCCCAAAACCTTTCATTTCTAAATAAACACACACCACCAAGGTTGTAAAATAGGCCAACGATCACTTTATAAAAAGAATCCTTGGGTTAAATTCAGATACATCTTGAAAAGTAGAAAAACTAATGATTTATTTTTCCAAAAGTCAAAGTTGTCCAATTTTAGTCTTGTGTACAAGAAATTTTAACTGTATTCATCTGATAGTAGAAAGTGGAATGATTTTACTTTCATTTGTTACCTTCCAGCTGTATCTTCACATGATACCCAGAGCCTCTTTCCAAAGATGTGCATAGGAAGTATTTTCGAAAGAGTGTCAGTGGATAAATATAAACATAGTGCCCTTGAGAATGGACACTTAGTGATAGAGTGGAACAGTGTTGGGGAGAGACCAGGGCATCAAAGATCTCATGAAACACATATGCAAATAGAGACAACTGCCCATTATAAGAATCTCACTGCCCAAAACAGTGAAGGATATAAAACATTTTGGAAACCCCCCCTCTCTAACACTGTTACTTCTGCAGGGCAGTGTGTTTCTATAATCAAAGGCTCAAATCAAGTGGTCAAACAGTCATATTTGCAGAACAAAAATTTGGAGAATCTGGAAAGTGACCTAGCCCATGCTGAAAATACTTCTTTGCACCATTTTGACAATAGGATTGCATTACCCTTTCAGTCAAATATTTCTGAAAGTCAGAGATTGAAAAAGGAAGACAAAAATGGTAAGTGGTATCCATTTGAGGGGTCCTTCCCTGAGCAGTCGACCTTACAACAAAACCACAGCATCTTCAATGAAAACAGAATTGCTCATTGCAGTGAATCTGAGAAAATACTGAACCAGGATTCAAATGTTAATAAATATCTACGGACTCCTTTGCCAGAGAACCATTGTGACTGCACTACATGTAGGGAAGTCTTTTATCAAAGCTCAAACCTTATTAGACAGAAGAGAATACATTTGGGAGAGAATCCTTCTGAATATACTGAGTGTGGGAAAATTCTTAACCAGTCCTCCAATGTTGGTGATCATCCGAGGAGTCCTGTGGGAAAAAACCCGTACACATGCAATGAACCTGGGAACGTGTTTAGTCAGTCATCAAGACTTGATATCAATAAGACAATCCATATTGGGAAGAAAGTTTACATTTGTAAGGAATGTGGCAAAGCCTTCAACTGGCACTCAACACTAATTCTACATCAGCAAAAGCATACTGGAGAGAGACCTTACAAATGTGAAGAATGTGGTAAAACTTATAAGTACAGCTCATCACTAAATAAACATAGGATAATCCATACTGGAGAGAAAATTTACAAATGTCAAGAATGTGGCAAGGCCTTTAACTGGCAGTCAGGCCTTATTGGACATCGGAAACTTCATGCTGAGGAGAAACCTTACCAATGTAAAGAATGTGGCAAGGCCTTTAAAAGGTACTCAAGCCTTACTGTACATCACAGAATTCACACTGGAGAGAAACCTTACCAATGTAAAGAATGTGGCAAGGTCTTTACCCACCAGACAAGCATTATCAGACATCACAGAATCCATACTGGAGAGAAACCTTACCATTGTAAAGAATGTGGCAAGGCCTTTATCCAGAAATCAACCCTCTTTGTACATCAGAGAATTCATACAGGAGAGAAACCTTACCAATGTGAAAAATGTGGCAAGGCCTTTACCCAGACCTCAAACCTTATGGCACACCACAGAATTCACACTGAAGAGAAACATTACCCATGTAAAGAATGTGGCAAGGCCTTTATTTGAGGTTAAACTTCATTATATATCAAAGAATTCATACTGGAAAAGAAACTTAAAATGTATAGAATGTGGTAAAATTTTTAGGACTGCTCAACTCTTACTCAGCATCACAGAGTTTAGACTCAGGAGAAACATACAAAGGGAAAGAATGTGTCAAGCATGTAGCTGGAACTCACCAACTTGATCAATATCATTATTTTCTTACAGAATAGAAACCATAAAATATAGAGAAAGTTGCAGTCCCTTTAACTGGAATTTGTTCCTTAGTATTTCAATGTGCATACTAGATGTAAACCCTACAAACATAATGAGGAAAGGTCTTCATATTAAATGTACACATTAGGATACACCAGAGAGTACATAAAAGTAACTTGAAAGCTATAAATATTTATAAAAGTATTTAATTGAACATCAAATGTCAGTATCCCAGAACTTACAGAGAAAGCAGTTGTTACTATTAATATATTACATCAAAATATTCATTATAAGGAATAATACAAAGTTAAACATGTTCAAAATGTATGTGCTGTTATGCTTCAAAAGGTTATTTGGATGAATTGTTGCATAAATATGGCTAATTTCATTCTGAGTTTTTTGGGGGCACCTGGGTGGCTCAGTCAGTTGGTTAAGTATCCGAATTTGGCTCAGGTCATGATCTCCCAGTTTGTGAGTTCAATCCCCTCATCAGGTTCTGTGCTGTCAGCTTATAACCTGGAGCCTGCTTCAGATTGTCTCCTCTCCCTGCCCCTCCCCACTAGCGCTCAAAAATAAACATTTGTAAAAAAAATAAAAAATGAGTTTTCCCCCCTCAAATCTATCCTGACATTTATGACTACCAAGTATCAATGCATTTCTACTCTCAGTTTCCTTCTGAAATTCATTCATTCCTTGGAAACTTACGTGGCTCATTGTTGCAGCAAAGGTATGACATGTTCTTTTTTTTTTTAATTTTTTTTAACGTTTATTTTTGAGACAGAGAGAGACAGAGCATGAACGGGGGAGGGGCAGAGAGAGAGGGAGACACAGAACCGGAAGCAGGTTCCAGACTCTGAGCCATCAGCCCAGAGCCCGACGCGGGGCTCGAACCCGTAAACCGCGAGATGGTGACCTGAGCTGAAGTCGGACGCTTAACCCACTGAGCCACCCAGGCGCCCCTACATGTTCTTAGGTGGGACTCATGCATAATTTTCTATGGAAGATGAAGGACAACATTACACACAATATTTAAGAAAATCTAATTCAGATGCTGTTTGTGGTTATAACATTGATGTAAGTTACCATGATGTAAGTGTTCCGAACATCATTCTTCTCCCTGTATTAAAACAAAATCTTCTTGAATGTTACCAATAAAATAATTTGCCAACTGGTCTTTAGGGAAAAAGGTTGCAGTGCAGTAAAACATACTGGTGTGTCTTCATCATAGCAATAGTTAGAAGGAGAAAATGCCAGTTGATGTGGTTGAAATGAAGAAGTCCTCACAGATATCAGAAAGAGGATAGCCAACTCTTCCCCCAAATGGGGTAAAATTGTACATATGCATTTTTAAAGAATGATGTCAGGCCTGGAAATTATGGAAATCTGTATTCTCACATCATACTATCAACAAATAATTTTGGAAGGCTTGTAGTCTGCATTTTGAACAATGACAATTGGGTGGATTGGAAATGCATGACTTGGTCTGTGTGTGAACTTAACACATTTTAAGAAGACATAATGGTTTTTGACATGTTGACATGGCTGTGTACAGAATGAAATGTTATCCCACCACCAGTGATAACCTATCTCATTTTATTAAAGGTGGGAAAAGTATGGAAAGGAAAAAGATGTGAAGAGCTCTTTGCAGTGGAGGGAGGGAACCCAAAGTGGCTCCCTTTTCTAACTTCAAAGTCACAGGCAGCTCTTTGGTGGCATCATCTGATAAATGTCACAGAATTAAGAAATTGGCAAATTTCTTTTGGTGGGTTCCTGAAGATTAAAAGATTAAGTCATGAAGACCACCTTCATGATTGAATTGAATTCCTGTATCCTACTGAGGACCAGATGCCATTGGATGACGATGATTCCAGTGATTGTCCAGACCTTGATCACTGGCAGTTCAGGAGGGCATGTTGGACAATGCAATCACAGTGTTCTAAAATGTGTTTTTCCTCACCCAAGGTCTTCAGGTCTTAATCTTTTCCTCTCTGCATACAGAATCCTATCATTTCCTACCATAATTCTCAGTGAGACCCAGAGTTAAGCAGGAAATCTTCCTATTAATTTATGAGAGTTGTGTGCAGGCTTTGGCTCAAGGAGAGGTAACAAGGGTCTCCTCTATAGGAGTTGGGGAGGGTCAGGTCCTTGTAGCACACTGTTGCTATGATCAAGCAGAATTTGTGGGCTTCTGTGGGGGCGGGGCGAGGCCCCCTGAAAGCAGGGAAGGGAAATTCAGAGATTGGTTTCCAGGTGGGAGCTCATAGTTTCTGAATAGCTCCTGACACAAAGGACTAGGAAGTTGGGCCTTTTCTGCATTAAAAAAAAATTTTTTTTAATGTTCATTTATTATTGAAAGCACATAAGCAGGGTAGAAGCAAAGGGTGAGGGAGGCACAGAATCCGAAGCAGGCTCCAGGCTCTGAGCTGTCAGCACAGAGCCCGACCTGGGACTCGAACCCACAAACCGTGAGATCATGACCTGAGCCGAAGTTGGATGCCCAACCAACTGAGCCACCCAGGTGTCCCTACATTTTAAAGTCCTGCCTGCAAGTGATCAGTTTACAGGTGAAGAGGTTGTGTTGGTGGCTTTATAGGCATTTTCTTCTAATTCAGCTGTGATTTCTCCACAAAGATCTTCTGAGAAAGAAATCTAGAGGATAAGGTGAAAGGTGAAAGAAGAAGAAATGCCCAGTTCTCAGGTAAGCCTTGCATCCAAGGCCAGAGGCTCTGTTGTCTGTTTCTTGGGAAATTTCATGCCTGTAGAAATTGCAGGGCACATGGGTAGCTCAACTCACCTCAAATTTAGAGAATGTACTAGAGCCTAATACTGTGTTACCAATTCTTTTACTGCAGAAAGCAGGAAATTCATCTAAGCCAGAAACAGTTCTCCTAATATAACTGAAGTAACATGAGTTCACTCCTTGGTGAATCACAAAAAAAACTACATGGAGCAGGGGGGTGGGGGGGAGGAATGTCAGACCAAGGAAAATTGATTTACAAGAAATAAGAAGATGGGTGCCTGGGTGGCTCAGTTGGTTAAGCGTCTGACTTCAGCTCAGATCATGATCTCATGCCTTGTGGGTTCGAGCCCTGGGGGTCGGGCTCTGTGCTGACAGCTCAGAGCCTGGAGCCTACTTTGGATTCTGTCTCCTTCTCTCTCTCTGCTCCTCCCCCACTCACACTCTGTGTCTCTCTTTGTCAAAAATAGGCATTAAAAAAAAAAATTAAAATCACAGGGAATAACATCCAAAGCAGAGACTCAGAGGAAGTGGGAATGGTTTCCTTTCATTTAGGGTTAGGGTGGATATTTAAAAAGGAGAGGTCATCATCTATATAGAGGTCAGGATAAGGTTGCACACGAGCCTTAAAAAAACAGTTCTATACATACTTTGTATGTTACATAGTAAATGGATTTGTGCTCCCCTTGGGTGGAGATTTTAGTATTATAATGAGGTAAAAGGGGGCGTCTGGGTGGCTGAGGCGGCTGAGCATATGACTTTTGATTTATGCTCAGGTCAGTATCTCACTCCTGAGTTCAAGCCCCAAGTCCAGCTCCACATTGAGGATGGAGCCTGGTTGGAATTGTTTCTCTGTCTCCCTGCCCCACCCCCACTTGTGTTCTCTCTCTCAAGGAAATAAACATTTATTATTTTTTAAATATGAGATAAAGGTAACTGTCCTCACTCCATGGTTTACTCTCTTGTTCAGCTGCTTAGAAGTACGTCAGGGATTAAGCTCAAATTGGGCCAATCCAAGCTCTTCCTCAGGGTAGTCATGTCCTTTTGTGGGATACTTTTCGTTTCCACCACAGGACACAATGCCATGGAGTGTTTTGTCTTAAGTAAAAGATAAGATAGAAAAAAGAGGTTAGGTAAAATGTGGGTTTAAGGTCAGTGGGTATAAGCAGGCAAGCAGTGAAGGTCAGGTCTGGGGTTCTAGCTAGTGACATTAACTCCCTCTTGCATCTTAGGTACCATTATGACCTCAGCCTATGGCCGCTAGGTAACTATGGTATTTATTGCAGGGATTGCTGACATTCAGGGATGTGGCCATAGAATTTTCTCAGAAGAAAGAGTTAGGGTGCCTGAACCACAGTCAACGGGAAGTGTACAGGGATGTGATGTTAGAGAACTATGGACACCTCCTCTTCTTGGGTGAGGATAACTCCTTCCCGCCTTCCCAAACAACACTCAGAGTTTTGTTCCTTCCTTTGAAGACTGTCTCTTGGAAGCTTCCTCTTTGCATGAGTGGGATTCAGATGCCTGCAGTCAGGGAAAAAAGTAGGGGTTTGTAGATGTAGAGAAAAATCTTCATGTTTCCTTTTCAGCTTTAGCCTCTCCTTCCTTAGGGTAACATCATCATTTCTGTAGATTAATGGCAATTCTAAAGAAAAAAAATGTTTTAAGTTTATTTTGAGAGAGAGCAGAGGAAGAGCAGAGAGAGGGGTAGAGGGAATCCTAGGCAGGCTCCCTGTTCATGAGCTGTCTCTGTCTCAAAAATAAATAAACGTTAAAAACAGTTTTCTTTAAAATGATTTTAAAATCATGAACAGGCTGTAAGCGTAGAGCCTCATGCAGGGCTCAAAACTCAGGAACCATGAGATCATGACTTGAACAGAAACCACGTGTCAGATGCATAACCGACCAAACCACACAGGCGCTGCACTTAGTGGCAATCTAAACACTGAGTGGAATCAAGTGGTATTTCCCACATTTTAAACACCAATTTCTACTCCTTGATGTAGTGGTAGTACTAGGAAGGGGAGGTCAAGATCTGAACATCAGAAATCCCTCCGGCATGTTCTAAAGGGGTTGGTGGGCAACAGCATTTGGGAAATCACTGTCTAGAATTATACAATGTTCTTTATTTTCTCCTGAACACAATAATGGATTGAAAATTAGAATCTCCATCAATACTCATATTCCTTTATTAAAAACAAAATATTTATTTCTTTTGAGAGAGAGCACAAGCAGGAAAGGAGCAGAGAGAAGAGAGAATCCCAAACAGGCTCCTTACTGTCAGCAAAGAGCCCAACTTGGTCTTGATGAGATCCTGAGATCCTGAGACCAGGAGACCATGACCCAAGCTTAGATCAAGGGTCAGATGCTAACCCGACTGAGCCATTCATTTGTCTCAAATGTTCCTTTTTTTCTAATAAGCAGGTCATATTGTGTCAAAACTAGACCTGGTCATCATTTTGGAACAAAAGAAGGAGTCTTGGAATGTGAAGCAAGAAGAGAGAGTAGCCACTCATCTGGGTAGGTGGTGATGAATGAAGCAGATGACAGAGGTGAGATCCAAATGTAAAGTAGGAAGATGGAACTTAAAGTGTCATTCGAGTAGTTCTCCTTGAATGGAAATTAGTAACATAATACTGACATAACACATAATATAATACAAATTTGTAACATAATACATTTTAATGTATTTTCAGTGTTTATTCATAAAATTAAAAAAAAATGTTTTTAACGTTTATTTATTTTTGAGACAGAGAGAGACAGCTCATGAACAGGGGAGGGGCAGAGAGAGAGGGAGACACAGAATCCGAAACAGGCTCCAGGCTCTGAGCCGTCAGCACAGAGCCCGACGCAGGGCTCGAACTCACGGACCGTGAGATCATGACCTGAGCCGAAGTCGGATGCTTAACCGACCGAGCCACCCAGGCGCCCCTATTCATAAAATTTTTAATTAGAGCATTTTATAGTTGATTTTACTGAATATTCTTTACTTTTATTGTCAATGGAAGCATGGCAAGAAATCAAAATGCTTGCTTTTCATGGTTACAGAGTTTAAAATTACAGTAACATAGAAGGTTTCCTTTTAAAAATTCATCTTATGTAGTATTTTGGGGTTAAATGTTATTCTGATTTTATAATCCCATAATAATGTGGTTCCTTTTGGTGGGAACTTTCACAACATTATGTAGTTGTAATTAAATTTTTGCCTGTGAATTTTGTTATAGGCTGACAATTTTCATCTCACTACATTTTAAGACAGTATGAGTTTAACTCAAATGTAAATCAACTTTATGCCCTTCACCCATAAAATTATGCATTTGCCTGAATAAATACCACCCATGCATAATTTGAGACACATGTTTTTCATTTCTTTCCTGGTTAGTGTTCAGTTTACATATGTCTAGATGAGTTGTCATAATAATAAAATTAATTTCATCATCTAGTTATTGGTGAATTTATGTTCTCTCTGCATGAGAGAAACCCTTTTTGTGAATTGAAAGTAATAAACATTTTATATCACTGTATCAAGTTTAGATACTATATTTTATCCTTAATTCTGGTATTATACCCATGGCATGCTTTGATACCATTCTCATTAGCTTTTGTGTCCTCTGTATATATTTTCATTGTGGTTCCCTGAGAGACTACTTAAAACATCTTAAACTAACAAACCATTGTGAACTGATAGCGTCCAATACATGCAAAATTCTTCTACTTATCATCTCCACCCGTGTACCCACTTGACAAATATGACTAATTCTATTCTTTTTTTTTATATATATGAAATTTATTGTCAAATTGGTTTCCACACAACACCCAGTGCTCATCCCAAAAGGTGCCCTCCTCAATACCCATCACCCACCCTCTCCTCCCTCCCACCCCCCATCAACCCTCAGTTTGCTCTCAGTTCTCAACAGTCTCTTATGCTTTGGCTCTCTCCCACTCTAACCTCTTTTTTTTTTTTTTTCCTTCCCCTCCCCCATGGGTTCCTGTTAAGTTTCTCAGGATCCACATAAGAGTGAAACCATATGGTATCTGTCTTTCTCTGTATGGCTTATTTCACTTAGCATCACACTCTCCAGTTCCATCCACGTTGCTACAAAAGGCCATATTTCATTTTTTCTCATTGCCACGTAGTATTCCATAGTGTATATAAACCACAATTTCTTTATCCATTCATCAGTTGATGGACATTTAGGCTCTTTCCATAATTTGGCTATTGTTGAGAGTGCTGCTATGAACATTGGGGTACAAGTGCCCCTATGCATCAGTACTCCTGTGTCCCTTGGATAAATTCCTAGCAGTGCTATTGCTGGGTCATAGGGTAGGTCTATTTTTAATTTTCTGAGGAACCTCCACACTGCTTTCCAGAGTGGCTGCACCAATTTGCATTCCCACCAACAGTGCAAGAGGGTTCCCGTTTCTCCACATCCTCTCCAGCATCTATAGTCTCCTGATTTGTTCATTTTGGCCACTCTGACTGGCGTGAGGTGATACCTGAGTGTGGTTTTGATTTGTATTTCCCTGATAAGGAGCGACGCTGAACATCTTTTCATGTGCCTGTTGGCCATCCGGATGTCTTCTTTAGAGAAGTGTCTATTCATGTTTTCTGCCCATTTCTTCACTGGGTTATTTGCTTTTCGGGTGTGGAGTTTGGTGAGCTCTTTATAGATTTTGGATACTAGCCCTTTGTCCGATATGTCATTTGCAAATATCTTTTCCCATTCCGTTGGTTGCCTTTTAGTTTTGTTGGTTGTTTCCTTTGCTGTGCAGAAGCTTTTTATCTTCATAAGGTCCCAGTAATTCACTTTTGCTTTTAATTCCCTTGCCTTTGGGGATGTGTCGAGTAAGAGATTGCTACGGCTGAGGTCAGAGAGGTCTTTTCCTGCTTTCTCCTCTAAGGTTTTGATGGTTTCCTGTCTCACATTCAGGTCCTTTATCCATTTTGAGTTTATTTTTGTGAATGGTGTGAGAAAGTGGTCTAGTTTCAACCTTCTGCATGTTGCTGTCCAGTTCTCCCAGCACCATTTGTTAAAGAGACTGTCTTTTTTCCATTGGATGCTCTTTCCTGCTTTGTCAAAGATGAGTTGGCCATACGTTTGTGGGTCTAGTTCTGGGGTTTCTATTCTATTCCATTGGTCTATGTGTCTGTTTTTGTGCCAGACTAATTCTATTCTTTATGTTGTATACTTTATTACCTAGATTAATGATTTTTATGCTTTTATTAAAAAATGCTAGCAAAAATGAAAGTGACATGTGCTACCCAATTACAACACTAAAGATATCTGTAATTGTGTAACTCTTTATATTTAGCAGAGAGCATATATTGTCATATGGTTTCATTTACCATTTAGAATCCTTTGATTTCAACTAAAAGGACTTTCTTGAACATTTCTATAGGAGAGGTCTACTGGTAAACCTGGGTGGGGGGCATGGTTTCACTTAGAAAAGACTTCATTTCTACATCCATGGAAAACAGTTTTGCCAGGTAGAGTATTCTTGGTGGATATTTTTGATCTTTCAGTACTTGAATACATTGTCCCATGTACTTCCTCCTATCAGGTCTACTGAGAATCCCACTCATAATCTTAAAAGAGCTCTCTTGTAGAAGATGAGCTGCTTTTGTCATGGTGTTTAACAATTCATCATTTATCATCATGACTTTTGATAGGTTCATTAAAGTGTGTCACTGTGTTCATATATTGACATGTATCCTTTGAATTTACTGAGCTTGTTGGTCTCTTCTTTCCACATACATGGGAACCACAAGCCTTTAGTTCTTCGTATGATTTCTTTCTCCTCTCCTCTCCGTATGGGGAATGAGACTTGTTGGTGACCCATGAGTCCCTAGACTCTGTTCTTTTCCACATTTTTCTTTGATTCTCTTAGTAGTTAATTTAAAACAAGGGGTCTTAAGGTTGTCTGATTCTTTCTTCTGCTTGATCAAGTCTGTTGCTGTCCCGTTAGTGTATTTTTAAACTCAGTAATTGTATTCCTCAGCTCCTAATTTTGGGTTGTTGTTTTGTCTCTTTAGATTTTCATTTTGGTCATGCGTAGTTTTCTGATATTATTTCGTTACCTACCTCTTTCTTCTTCTTCCTATATGAGCATCTTTAGGATACATTTTTTTTTTTTAAGATTTTATTTTTAACTCATCTCTACATGCAGTGTGGGGATATAACTCAGAACCCTGAGATCAAGAATCACACCCTGCACCGACTTAACCAGCCAGGTGCCTCATTTGTGATTATTTTTTTGACATCTTTGTCAGACAATTAATAGTTCCTTATTAATTTAGGGTCAGTTTTGAAGATGCACTTTCTTACTCTGATTGCAATGCATTTTACATTTTCTTTGTAAACTTTGTGACCTCTCGACTTGGGAATTAAAAAAAATCCTATGGGCATGGGCTTATGACGTTGCTTTGTAGAGGAAAACACAAATAATAGTAATTCTAGCATCTGTCACACATTTTGGCCACTTGTAATGTCTGAGTTTTTTAAATCTCCCAGTTGGAGAAAATGTAGTTACTTGCGAATGTATGACACCTTCCTTTTTCTGATTGTGTTCACCTCTGTATCTTCTGTTGTTTGAACAGATAGTCACATTTTATCTGAGCAGCTGCCATGGTGCATCCAGTGGGTCCTCTCATTCCTTCTGGGTATGCTGTGTTCTCCTAACCAGTTTCTGGAGCATTCCAAAGGTAATTTGGTCCACTTTGATTTCATGGAAGAACAAAGTGCTGGTATTTCCTATTTCTCCATTCTGCTGATGTTCTGTGATGGGAACTAATTTTCTACATTAGCATTTTAATGTACGTTTGTGTGAGTTTAGTAAGTGGGAAAACTTCTTTTATATTTTGTAGTTGTGTCTCTCCATAACACCCTATGCTTGTTGGCAATGATTGGCAAAACAAGATTCATTCCTTACACCTAATTTGGGTAGATCTGGAGGCTGTGGCTCTGAATATTTACACTTAGACAGTGGTAAGGGTAGAAAGGATGTTATGTTGGTTATAACAAAAGTGGCCAAATCACCACAATGAAATTCTTACTGTCAGGAGAGATCAATAATATAAAAACTTGGCATGGGGGGGGGCAACATTAAGTCAGTTATATTTTCACAACACTGTCTTTGAATGAAAGGATCCAGATCCATTTTTGAAATATCTATATTCTCTGAAAGGACATTCAGAAGTTCTGAAAAGTCACCTAGTCCATGCTAAAAGTAATCATCCAGACCACTTCATATAGAACATTGGTTTAATCATTCACTGAAACATTTCTAAAGGTTAGATATTTAACAATGAACATAATTCTGAATGGGATGGATTTAACAAGTCTTTTTTGAAGGGTTCTTGATTCCTTCCACCAAGACATGATCCCTTTTTGTTCCAAAGTCTTTTAATTTTGACAAACATGGTTGGATATTTATTTTAAAGATGAGTATTATGTGATACTCTTGAACAATTTGAAACAAGTTTTCATGTGCTGTGATCTTAGGAAAATCTTCAGTGAGTACTCTATCTTCCATAATTACCAATGATTTTATAATGGAAACAGAGTTTACCAATTCAGTGAATCTGGGAAAAATGTTAATCCTAACACCAGAGAATCAGTCTTAAAGTAATAAGGATGGGAAACGCTTTTATGAAAGTTCAAATATTAGTATACATCATTGTATCCTTGTTGGAAAGAAAACCTAGAAATGTAGTAACTGTGGCAAAACTTTAACTTGTCTTCAAAATTTGCTCAACAGCAGAGATTTTATAATGGGAAGAATGCTCTTGCAAATAAAATGTGGCAAAGATGCTAACTACCACACAAAACTTACCAACATAAGTTTATAAATAGCTGGGAGAAGGCTACAAATGTAAAATAAAATGTGACAAAGCCTTTAAGCAGAATTATAAAGTTGGTGAACATGAGAGAGTACTGGAGAAAACCTTAAAATGTAAGGACTGTGTGCACCTGGGTGGCTCACTTGGTTGAACTTCTCACATAAACTCAGGTCACAGTTTCACAATTTGTGAGCTCAAGTCCCACATCAGGCTTTGTGCTGTCAGTGCAGAGCCTACTTCAGATCTTCTGTCTCCCTCCTACCCACCTCTGTCCATCTCCTGCTCTTGCTCTCACTCTCAAAAATAAACATTTAAAAAATAAAATATAAAGAAATGTAATGAATGTGGCATACCATTTAACTCATAATCAAAACTATTCAACAGAAGATAGCAAATCCTGGGGTGTTACCTTACAAAAGTGAAGAATATTGGCAAAGTCTTTATGGAAAGCATACTGGATAGAAACCCTAGAAATGTAAAAAAAAAAAAAAAAAAAAAAAAAGATGGCAGACCTTTGTTTTTAAAATACACTTGAGTACAAAATACAGTCTTGCCTTTTCTTGTAGAGAGAGGGAGAGGGGCAGAGGGAGAAAAAGAGAAAATCCTAAGCAGGCTCCATGCTCAATGCAGAGGTCCATGTGGGGTTCAATCCCATGGCCATAGGATCATGACCAAGCCAAAATCAAGAGTCAGACACTCGACTAACTGAGCACCTCAGGCACCCCCTAAAATAGAGCCTTTATAAAGGATAAAAACAGAAAGATGTAAACAATCAGCAAACTATGTAGTAGAAAGCTATATCTAGATAAAATCTGAATTCACAGCAGAAAGCATAAGTAAATACTAGTTTTCAGACATGATTCAAAATCAGAGTATTTATTACATAGAAGAATGAAAACTTAAAACAGATCAGTTATACGTTAGCCTTGGACAGTGCAATTGTTAGGGCACTAACCCCTTCACAATTGAAAATCTGTGTGTAATGTCTGAGTCTGCAAAACTTAAAACCATACCTACTTTTATATGGAAATAGTATATTGTTGACTAGAAGACTTACCTAGAATATTAAGTCAATCATCACATTCTTTGTATGCTATCTGTATTATGTATGGTATTTTTATAATAAAATAAGCTTGAGAATAGAAAATACTAAGGAAATCAAACCAAAGAGGAAACATGTTTTCAGTACTATATTAAAATATATATATATATGTGCATAAGTGGACCCACAGTGTTCAAACCCATGTTATTCAATGGTCAGCTGTATTTTTTTTTAATGTCTATTTATTTTGAGAGGAAGGGATGGGCAGAGAATCCTAAGCCTTCTCTGCACTGTCAGCACAGAGCCTGAAGCATAGCTCAATTTCACAACCTGAGATCATGACCTGAGCTGAAGCTGAGAGTCAGACCCTTAACTCACTGAGCCACCCAGGGGCCCTGGCAACTGTATTTGTTAATATGCATGAAAGTATCAGGGAGGGGATGGATGTCTGGAGAGGGATAGTTATTTTCAGTGTGTCTCTCGTTTTTTTTTGTTTTGTTTTTTTTTTACTATAAGAGTATTTGCAATAGGCATATTAATAATTTTACTCTTAAATCATCTTATGCTATGGCTTTATTTATGTGCATGCAAAGTGATTTGATTATTGCTGTCTCACACATAGGCTCTTATACAATGTGGCATTCATACCTACTTTTTGATGGAAGATTCAAGAGGCTGTCATGTACAATGTATGAAGACAGTCTACCTGAAGATGCTGTTTGTTGTTGATGTACAAAAGTGAAGTAAGTCAGCATGAAGTAAGTGTTCAGGGCATCATTCTTTACATTAAAGTAAGACAGAGATATGGTCTAATTTTAAATAGTTTTGCCACTTGCTGTTTGAGAAGACACTAGCAATTCATTAAAATCTGGATGTATTTTCATAATAGCCATTCCTAGAAGAATGTTTGTTACAGGGTTGACATAAAGAAATTTTCATAGATACTTGAGGAAAGTATAGCTAACTTTCCCATAAGAGCACAAGATATTGTAAATCCATATTTACTCAAGAATTAGCCTCAGTGTGAAAAACATGGGAAGTACAAGTCACAGATCATTATATCAGGAATAAGAATGGTTCTTGAATGCTTGTGATGGGTATTTTGACCAAGGATCCTACAGTGATCTTGCAGTGGTTTGTTTAGTGAGTTTTTGAACTTATTATTTTAATAAGTAACAGTGAATGGATTTTACTGTGTGATCAGTGATCTGTAATAGATGAACTATTGTCCTACACCAACCTTAGCTGGCACCACCTTCATCAAGGCTGCAGGTAAACAGATAGTAACACAAAACACACTTGACTCTTGAATCTCATGGCCTTGAACTGTGTGTCCACTTACAGTCAGATGTATTTACAGTATAGTATTATATTTTATCTTCCTTCTGATGTTTTTAGCATTTTCTTTTGTTGAGCTTATTTTATTGCAGGAATACCATATTTAACACCTATAAAATAAAATATATATTAATTGACTCTGATAAGATTTCTTGTGAACAATAGACTATTAAAATGAATTGTTAGGGAGTCAAAGTTATACATGGATTTCAACAGCATGGGAGGTGGGTACACAGGTGGGTACACAGGGTCACCTGTGCTTGTTAAATCAGTGGAATGAAGTATTAAATGAACTTTGCCTGTTCCTCTTCTACTTACTAGATCAATAATGTTTTTATAGAAAGATACTGTGCTATAGGCACTATGAGAAAGAGGAACATCATCTTTGAGAGAAAAAAAAATGGGACAGGACATCAGTCAGCACGAGGACTAGGGCTTCTATTAAAACTCCCAGTCCATCTGTTTTGCAGTGGAGAAATCCCACAATGTTTCAGGAACGCTGGAGAATATCATTAAATTAGGAAAGGACACCAAAAGGAGATCATAGTTTTCCAAGCATTGTACATCAGGTAATCTCTCATGTCAGGATCTCTGGCCCAAGCTTTTGTGATTAAGCTGGTAAGAATTCAAAGAGGAGCTTCTGAAAGTCTCTGATCACTCATGAAAGGCATGAGTGGGAGAGGGCCAGAAAGAGGAAGAGAGAGAATCCCAAGCAGATTCCATGCTGTCAGTGCAGAGCCTGATGCAGGGCTCGAACACATGAACCGTGAGATCCGGACGTGAGCAGAAATCAAGAGTTGGACACGTAAGTGACTGATTCACCCAGATGCCCCTACGTTTATATTTAGATTATGATTTACATACTTAATCTGGACATTTATTTCAATGAAGTTATTATGTCCTTTGAAAATCATTAGGCACTTGACACCAATGTGATCCATTATAGTAGGTTCAAGAACTTCATTTTCTCTCTGCCACATCCCTCTACCATAAGGTTAATAGTTTTTTTCTCATTTAATATTAAGTACCTTAGGAGGATTTACTGCAAGAGGATATTCATTCTAGAAACTCCCTTCCATGTTTTCACTTTGTTTTGAGTCTGCCTTGGAAAATGAGGCTCTCTCCTGTTTTTGTTGAAGATACTGGTGTTTGAAGTGGAGATTGTATTCCAGTCAGGGCTCAGTCCTACAAGTTTCCATTTTATTTCACACTCCTATCACAGACACAACTTTCATTATCACTGCTCTGTTGTTTCAGAGAAAGAAAACATGCACCATATATGTTCCACTGCCTTCAAATTGTAAAATATAATTCAGTACAAAAGATATGAGACAAAAACTTTAAGTGTTATAGGGGACTCACAAAAAATAGCTATTTTGGTTAAATAGGGTATGTGCTTGTCTCTGTGGTGTGTTTGCAAGACACTATAACTTTCTTTTA